CAAAAAACCTCCCAGTAGAACTCACATCTTCAAAGCTCCACTGTCTCCCAAAAGGCTGCTGGAGGACAAGCCTGGGGACACTTAAAACTACAGCATGTAGACTTGAGTTGAGTCTAAATAACCACTGAGTGTACGTATTAACAACATATTCAAGTAGGAGGTGAAGTTACAGCACATGTAGCCATTCCTAATGAGCATTGTGTGCTTGTCTTGTCATTACCTCTCCAAGGAGAATTAGCTGTGTAATCCATTTATTACCTCCATCCTGGAATAGGAGGCCCATTGGGAGGGACCCTTGGCATCCCTGCTCCTCACAGGGCTGCTGTGGCCGGTAACTAGCAGACACTCTGTGAATGCTATTGAATGAATAGCATTTAGCCTTTCATTTAGCCACAAACAGTATGGACTAGACACTGCTAGATCTATTTAATCAATGATGTAAATGAGATTCCAGCCTTGACTCCAAAGCCCCATGTCTTTTACATCTTTGAAATGTTCAGGAAGAAAAGCAAAGCAAAGGTAGAACAATGGGTAAATGACCTGGTGTGTTGCAATACGGAACATTCCTTGCTATGACCCTCACTTGTTGCCACGGTTTTTTTTATCAATCTGCATAGCTGCGGAGCTCAAAATACGTGACATTTTCAAATGAGTTACAGTTAGACGTGATCTGTTTATGCTTTGCTCATATTTCTTTACTGCTATCAATTTTGATATGCAACAATGAGATTAAAATAAGTACAAGATTATATTCAGAAATATATATGCCATGTTAGCAAATGTTAAAGTCATATAACTGTCATGCAGTGCCTCACTGAGCAAACAGTAATGTCTGTATTTTGATTTAGCTCAGGCAAAGCATCTGATGTTGTACAATACAGCTCTACTTGGTGGGGGAGTAGATGATAACAAGGTATTTATACTTTTTAGTATTCTTTCATTCAATATAGAAGTTCAGTGCAGTGCCTGAGAACCTTCAAATCAAGCACAATAATGACAACATGCAAAAGAGTGGGATACGTGAATAAAGGAAATACACTTCATACCGAGGTTCTTGGAGATTTTCTTTGTCTAAGAACAAAATTATACTTTAACTCACAAAAGATTATATGTAGAAGGAAACATAAAATCACCAGCTCCAACTCTGCCATTTTACAAGTGTGGAAAGTTGAGGCCCAAAGAATGTTACAATTATTCACTGCAGAGCAAGTCAGGGACAGACTGGGTAATTTACTAAACTTAGTTTACAGGGAGAGCACGAGCTGCAACATTTCAGTTCCCCTCAAAGCACAGTCCATGGCTAAAGGAATGTTTAGAAATCAAGTTTTCACATTAAGCAAACTCAAAGACATCAATAGAATTAAAAATAAAATTTCATCAACTAAAGATAAATACATTTTGATACATTTTATATTCTTAGATAGTTGGCATTTATATTTGACTATAACTTCTATATTTTGAAAGATGCTGTATTAGTGAAAAATATATCTCTTCACTCTTGTTCTTGAATTGAATAATTATCTTGCTCTTTTTCACACACAAACACACATACACGTGTGCATGCACACACGACAAAAAAGGCACAAAGCAGAGATATTATTAATTTTTATGACAAATATGAGCATAAAAGTTTTGATCTTTGCATAGAATCCACCTGACCAACTGGTATTTAATATAGTTCAGGAAAATGAAGCAAATCAAAGTAAAGCATTTTTAATTAGTGTTTTAACGATGTGATTAATGATGCCTTTTTAAAGAAAAATGCCTGTACCGTAAATGAAAGCCTCATTATTTCTAAAAGCTGTTTTCGTCTACTTAATGACTTCTTCTAATAGCCAGATAAATTGAACAACAACACATGAAACCTATTAGCCTGAACAATTTCACAAGGAACAAAATTTAATGTTGAGTTGCAAACTGTTGATCAACTAATCTGAAAGTAATAAACCAACAGGCAAAGGTTTCTGTTCAAATGGCATGAGCCTTGCTTTTAAACAACTGTGCAGTACAGATGAATTTTACTGCACAACAAAATAACCTACAGTAAAATAAAAGGCACTTTACTAAAGAGGCTAATTTAGCCCTTTCACAAACCTTGCTGGTTATGTTTGTATCCTTCATGTGTTGATTTGGGGCATTTCAGCCTTATTTGACATGTCCAGAAAAGAAATTTATTCCAGGAAAGGAGGCCAAATGGGTCCTGAAATATCTGATTGATTCATTAAAAAGCTGGCAGTCCACTGCAAAGACCTCTTAATGTTATTAAGCAGAAAAAATGAGCTTGTCAGTTGAGTGGAGGAACCGAAGAATGGCTACGGATAGAACTCCGTGTGGCTCCCCGCTTAGTAACTTCGTGGACGAATGTCCTTGGTCAGGACTGCTGAGGCTCCGCAGAGCAGTCTCTACAGGGGAAGTCACGATCTCACCCTCTCCCAGGGTGACTCTGTGGAGTCGGAGGAGGCACATACAGCATTTAGCACATTTTACACGCATTACTTTTACTAGACACCATGGCTGTTGTACGGTGTCATAGGAAACAGGGTTGATATCTTCACCAGTTAACTGTGCCTACCATAACATAACGAAGCCAAGCAGAAAGCACAGTACACTTGCTTATGTTGTAAACGTAGACAATTTCCCCCATGTACTTTGTGCAGATGAATTACCAAAAGAGAACGCAAATAGGAAGGTTGTCATCAGTTTACCCAAAGTGGTAGTAAATAATCCATGAAAAGACAAAAGAGCGTTGATTCCTCACACTTTAAGTATTTTTAAAAACTAGCAGAAAAAATCAACAACTGGGATCTTATCTTATTAAAAAGCTTTTGCACTACAAAAGAAACCATCAACAAAACTAAGAGTCAACCTACAATGTGGGAAAAAATATTCACCAGCTGCTCCTCAGACAAAGGACTATTATCTAGAATATATAAAGGACTCAAAACAATCAGCCCCCAAATATAAAGACCCAATTAAAAAATGGACATCTGATATGAACGGACATTTCTCAGACAAAGAAGTAAAAGTAGCAAGAAAACATATGAAAAAAATGTTCCATATCACTGGTCATTCGAGAGATGCAGATGAAAACAACGCTGAGATTCCACCTCACCCCACAAAGAATGGCTCCTATCAAGAAATCACAATTACAAATGTTGTTGGGATTGTGGGGAGAAAGGAACCCTTCTCCATTGTTGGTGGGAGTGCAGACTGGTGCAACCACTATGGAAATCAATATGGAGATACCTCAAAGAGCTGGGACTAGAGGTTCCATTTGACCCAGACATCCCTCTGCTGGGTATCTTTCCAAAAGAATTAAAAGAATCATATCACAGTGATATATGTGCATCTATGTTTATAGCGGCACAGTTTGTAATAGCTAAAACTTGGAAATAGCCCATCTGCCCATCAGTTGGAAACTGTATAAAGAAGATGTGGTTTTTCTATAAAATGGAATACTACTGAGCCATAAAGAATGAGAAATTAGATTCAGTCATAGGAAAATGGATACATATTGAGGATATATTCCTAAGTGAAATATATAAGGCACACATGTGTAAATACCAAATAGTTTCTCGGGTGTGAAAAACTGTAATAGTGCATAAGACACTAATGAGATAATTGACTGTGAATAAAGAAGAAAAGGGCTAAAGGTGTAGGGAAAGTGAAAGTTGGAAGGGTAGGGGAAAGGTAATAAGGGAAAAGAAAAAAATGGAAAAAAGTGTTTGTAAATGGGGAGGGGAGGAGGGGGTGAAGGGAGGGCAGGGACAAGGGGAAAAAAATGAGAACCAAGACCTGTCATGTAGAGGTACAAGATCCCAGTGATGAATGTAACTGTATTGTATACCTAGATTGTACCAATAAACTCAATTAAAGTTATTTTTGAAGATGGTAGGATGTTTTTGTGGGGCAGGAGAGAATCCTTGGCTGTTTCTATAGGTTCCAACAGTGAGCTTCGCATTGGGCTTCATTGCTGCCTGTCTAACAGTGTGGAAAGCGTCAGCTCCTTTCTCCCCGCCCACTGTCATCCGACTCACACAGGACCAGAAGCACTGATTGGAACTGACTTCTGCACACATCTGGAAACTGCCAGACAGTAAGGATGGCCGCTCAGCTGTCCCTGGGTGAGGGTCTCCTCCAAGTCGGTCGGCAGTTCAGAGAGGATTTCTCTGTCCACCCTTTCAAAACATCTAAGCCATCATCATCTCCCACCTGATCACTGCCATGACGTCAGCATGACTCTCTGCTCTCCCACTCCACTCTTGACTTGCACCCTCAGGAGGGCAGCAGGGGGCATCTCAGAAATAAGTCAAAGTTCCAAAAGCAAGACACATAAGTGCCTCACAGGTACAGAAAATGATGTTTGAGCTCACCAGTCATCAAGGAAACGCAAAGCTATCACCTCAAACCAACAAGAGAGGCTGTTGTCAAAGGCTTTGGCATCACACTGTGGTGAGGGTGTGGAGGAGTAGGAATCCTCGAACACTTCTGACAGGAATGTGAACTAGTACTACTGCTATGGGCACCATCATGAAGTTCCTCAAAACTTAAAATGTAGCTAATATGTGACCCAGCAATCCCACTACTGGACATAACAAGCACAAAGAAAGTGAAATTGGTGTGTCAGAGCCCTCTGAACTCCTAGGCCCACTGCAGCACTGCTCGGCATTACCACACTAGGTAGCCAGTTTAAGTGTTCACGAAGAAAATGCTGTCCGTGCACTTGGTGGAACACTACCCAGCTAGAAAGAGGATGCAGTCATGGGCTGGAGATTCAGCTCTGTGGTGCCACACCTGCCTCTCACAAAAAGAAGGTCCTGAGTTTGAAAATAAAAACAAAAAAAGAAGGAAAAGAACGCAGTTACATCATGTATGATACCATGCATGGAATTGGAGGTTATGTTACACAAAAGAAGGAAAAACACACATCACATGATCGCTGTCTTATATGCAATCAGAAAAAGTTGATCTCACAGAATTTGACATAAAATGATTCTTACCAGAGTCTGGGAAGAGGAGCAGGAGGGGAGGGGGAACTCAGCGACTGGGTACTACGTCACAGATAGGCTTAGGAAGTGCTGACGTGGGCTGGGATGTAGCTCAGCAGTAAAGCTGCTGCCTCTGGAGTGTGAGAGGCCCTGTGTTCGATTCTTGGAACTACCGAAAAAAGAAAAAAAGTTCTAATGTGCTATGACACAGTTCGGTGACTGACTATTCAGAACAATATCGTACCGTACATTTCAAAAAGCTAGAAGGGTCTTCAAAGTTCCTACCATAAAGAAATGATAAATATTTGCGGAGATGTTTGTGTTTAACCTGAATTAAATGTTTCACAATATGTACACGAATTGGAGCATCATGCTACCCATTAATGCCTACAACTTCCATGAATCGCTTAAAATTAATTTCAAAAATAAGTCAAAGGAAGATGGCAGCAGCTTCTGGTTTTTGACCATCTTTAATCTCTTACAAAAAGAAGCGCAGCAAAAAAGAGGAAGGGAGAAAAAGCAAAGCGCACGCAGGGACTGTTTGTAGGAAAGGAACGACCGACGATGCATCGCTCAAGGGTCCCAACTCCAGCGGGGAGGCATCAAGCCACCAGGTGAAGTAATGCACGGGCAGGCAGCAAACATGTATCAGAAGAGGGCTGAAGGCAAGAACACTGCTGAAAAGTTTAGGGTTCAAGGGGGAAAATCACAAATATGTAGCAACCCTTCCATCTAGGGGTCTCCCCAAGGTGTGGAAATCTCAGACTGGTCAGGAAACTGCCATCACGTCTGTGTCCAGGGCTCCCTGAACGACGAGTGAAGGCGAGGGACTCGCAAAGCTTGGGCCTGACTGCCCTGCAAGCTAGGGGGGCCGAGCAGTGCGCACGGTGGAGACACCCACGTGAGCAGGCCAGAACCTGGGACCAGGGAAAAAGCGGAGTGAGGGATTAATAAATCTAAAGTAGTAATTAATGAGTTTGGAAACCAAACGCTCAAAATAGGTAGTCTGGTTCTTTGAAAAATACACAATTGAAAAATACACCATTCATGAACCCAATCAAACAAAAGGAGCGAACTACAAATACACAGGAGTTACAAGCAAACCAAAACTAATGAGAAAATACATGCAATTATATAACTTTTAATTAGACTATGCAAATAAATATGAAACAAATGAAGTACACTGTTTTCTAGGAAATGTATTTTAAGGCATGTATGGTTTGCATGGCATAGCTGTGTCCTTCGTCATTTCTGTCCTGTAGTCAGGCACACACAGACCTCCCTGCGAGGGCCTCTTCTCCTACTTTTTCTGCAATGCATACTTCATCAGGTAGAGCAATCGAACAATTTCTAAGTCTTATAGGAAAACGTTCATCCTACAACAAGGGGGAAAATCTGTTCTTCTCTTGGAAGCGGAAGCAGAAAGGGTTCCAGATATTCTAACCTCTGCTGCTCGTCACACAGAATAAAAAGGATGCACATCTCTGTAAAAATACACAGGGTGGGCAGTGTTCGGTTACCATGCAGTGTGTTGTTGCGAGAGCCACCTGCTCTCAGCCCTGCTCTGCCCACTCCCTCGCTCTCGTTCTTTTACTCTCCACCATGTTACAGCACAGATCACCAAATATCTCTGGATTTCCCAGCCTTCAAAACCACAGGGAGGGGATGGAGATGGACAAAAGACTCAAGATGAATAATGTGCATTTACTCACTCACCACAAGGCATGCAATCACTACATCCTGTACACACATAGCAATAAGCATGAAGTATCTTTAAATGGACCAAACTTTTACCTTATAAGTTCCTCCATTGGCTGCATTTTGCTACAGCAAATGAAAATAAACCAAAATGACATTGCTCTTGTGTCTATCCATTATCAATGAATACAAAGCAACTCTCGATTTTATGTCAGGAGCTGTGTCCACATAAGTCCATATGGTAGCTAGAGCCTGACTCAGCAATACTCTGGACACGTGGATCTTCCGTGTGATTTCCTCTCTGTACGTTCATTTCATTGACAGTTTCCCGTCTTTGTACAATTCCAACTTTTGTCTTAGGGATTACAAAATGTACAGTGTTGGATGATTCAGCTTTCATTACTCTAACAAAATAGGCAGTTAACTAAGAAAAAGAAAAAGATTATTTTAGATCCCAGTGCTAAAGATTGCAGTCTAAAATCAGATGGCCCCATAGCATTGTCTCTTGTAAAGGTGACCAAGGACAGTGAGAGTGTGATGAACTGCTTATGTCACAAGCCAGGACACAAAGAGGATGAGGAAGGGCCTGAGCTCCCACTATCCCTTTTACAGGCAACTTCTAACAGCCAAAGACTTCCCGGAAGTGGTTAGCCACCTCTCCACGCCACTGTGCCAGGGTCCAGGCCTTCAGCACAGGAGCCTTCGCCAGACATTCACCCAAGTGTAGCAAATATGGACTTTAAAAGAAGCCTATCTTATTGTGTAACGTTTCCAGGGTAACTTTACAGTTTCATCGCAACAGAGACCCTGAGGGTGGAGAATGCCGTGAGTTCCTGCGCGGCAGTGTTGAAAAGGATCCATGTTAAAGCACAGTAAGGCAGACTTCCTACAGGACTATTGTGAACAGTATAGGGGTTCTTGCAACTGGATCTTGTTGTGGGAAAGAGACTGGGCCATCTCTCCACTGGATCCTCTGTTGATGTCAAATACAGCATAGGCCAAGTGGGCAAAGTGCAACCCAGAACCCACTTACTGACTGCAACATGCCAGCACCGTAATGAAACCTCAATGCTGAGGTTTAGTATGCATTACTATACATTAACAGCTCTGTCTTGAAAGAAAAACACAGTAACAGCTTTCAGAGAGCCAAATAGCTTTTTACTGAAAGGTAACAGTCATAGTTAATGTGATCTTCACTGTTGTGTGCACACTGATAATTTGTCAGACCTTGGCTCACACTCCTTAGTTTGACAGCAACACATTCAGTGTTCAGGTCCTCTGTCAGTCTGTTTCTTGTATCAGATCTGATACAATTCTAAGTAGAAAACAGCTGCTCACAGCATAAGGCGATGCAAACAAAGTGAGAAGAGCAATCCCAAGTGCTTTCATTGACTTAAAATTATTGAACAGAGAATCCCACACCTTAAGGATTTCATTTTCAGAGCTACCAGCTGTGCTGACCTTGCCCTTCCATCACTCCATCTTCTCAAGCATTGTGCACAGGTCATAAAGTTTATTTTCCAGATGCAGCTTTCTTAAATTCCTATAGCTCCATTTCCAGATTCCAAAACCTCAACAGTGTAAGCAGAAGAGATCAAGTTCTTCAACTTCGGAGATGTAAGAAAACAGACTTTTCTCCACATCATAGAACTGTAAAAATCTTTTACTAAAATTCTCCTTTGCAGCTGCTACAATGCTAGAAAACTTCCTTATAGATTTCCTGATGGCTTCTAAGATCGTCTGCAAATGTTAGAGAATGTTCTCAATGCATTTTTAGATTTGGAAAATATTTCAGTTGTCCATTTTGAAGGTCTCTCAAAAACCTGTGGTTTTCTCTCAAACATTTTGGTATCACAAAACATCCTTTCTGCATGTTTCCCCTATACCTTGTAGGTTTTGTTCAGCACATTGAATTGTAGTGCACAACCTGTAAAAACAACAACAACAAAAATAATGAGGTTGTTAAGCCAGGTTATTTATCTGTGAGCTGTGGATATCCCTGCCCTTTTTCATTCATAAACAGCCTCATTTCATCCAAGCAGGCTACAGATCTCTCCAGGACTCCTCCTCTGCTCAGCCCCTGGACATTATTGTACACAAGTACAGCATTATACTGTGCCTGAACTTCATCAAAGAGTGCTTGAAACTGTCAACAATTAAGAGCACAAGCCATTTTGGGGACATCTTTGAGGATATCACCAAATTTTTTGCTGCTTTTCTGGGCACAAAGAGCTTTTTGATATACAAGGTAAATGAATGACTGGATATTTTGGTTCCTTAATAAAGAATTGAGTGAAACCTGATGTTGCCCTCACCATGCAAAGTGCCCATCACTACTAATTGAAGCCACTTTCTCTGTTCTTATGTCTTGTGACAAAAAAGCCTGCATCACAGTATTGTAGATCACTTGTGTTCTAGGCAAAGACACCAGCTGCACCAGCTCTTCTCTCATGGTGACACCAATAGCATAACGCAAATCACTGCTAGCCTCCCATGATTATTTGTATCTGTGCTTTCATTCAAGCACATGGAGTAACAGGCGGCCTCCTGTAGGTCAGGGGTGAGCTGCTGACTCACATCACTTGCCGCGCTCAGAACTCAATCTTTAACAGTATCTCTGCTAAGTGGCATCTCATAATTTTATCTTTTGGGGGGAATCTTGGAAAAGGGAATTACTACCAAACAACATGGACATTTTGATAAAATCCCCATCAGAGAGGGGCTTACCATGTTTTGCTGTAAACAGTGAAATTTGAAAGCTGTCAGCTGTCAGATTATGTTTTAGAAATATAGTTGCAAAAAAATAAGAGAGTGGGAATGACATTTCCTCAGTTTCCCCTCAAAAAAACTCTTTTCTTGCAGGAACACGTTCATGGTTGGAGTCAAAGTGCCGTCTGACAATTGCCATATCACACAACACTTTTACTACACACTTGCCCATTGTGTTCAATCACTCCAGGTGACTCTGTCCAGGCCTCTTGAAGTGATCTCCCACTATGTGTTTTTAGTTTTGTTCTGTTTTGTTTTGGGTTGGATTGGGTTTTTTGGTTCTTATTGTTGTTTGTTTTTTTGCTGTAAGCATTTTTTTGGTGTTTAAGACTTACAGTCCACAGAAATTTTAAAAATGAAACACCTAATACATATCTATCCCTATAGCAAAATAAGATGATACTATTAGTTAACACTAAAGAATTAGATATTTCCCTGAATCACCAATCTTTGACAGCTGGGGCTCCTCTTGAATTTGCTGACCACCAGCACAAGGGACAATGTTTCACAGACAGCCAGCTTTTGGCCTGCTCTGAAAAAGGCATCTGAGTGCATTTTCTATCTTGTGGGGGCTTCTGCTAAAATCACAGCCAGTCCAAGCAAAAATTATATAGATGAATATTATATATAATTTTATATATATTTATAAATAGATATACACATAAATATATATCTTGTTTTCATAAATTCTTCAGAAATAACTAAATATAATGATGCACATTCAAATATACCAAGGGGATAGCACAACATTAGCAAAATCTCAGTCTTGGTCTGGGGATTTAGCTCAGTAGTTCCAGCACTGCCTCGCAAGCGCAAGGGCCCAAGTTCGATCCCTGGTACAAAAAAAAAAAATGGGCCAGGGATTTAGCTCAGTGGTTCTGGCACCTGCCTTGCAAGCACAGGACCCAAGTTCTATCCCCAGTACCCCCCAAAACATCTCAGTCTCTTAATTAGAACACCTCTTTGCTAAATCTTAGATGTTAAATTTCGTTTTCATAAGAAAAAAGTCAAGGATAGTAGACGAGTGTTTATTTAAGGCATTCCCGGTAACCACACCAGCAGAGAAAAAAAGTGTGGGGAAAAATGCTACTTTTTAGGGATTCTGCTTAGAAAAGACATCTTCCACCAATGTTCCATTTCATTAACTAAAAGCAAATTTCACCACCAAACTCAATAGCCATTGCTTGGACAAGTATTTTCCCTATTAAAAGGAGCAATAAATATTTGGAATAATAATACAGGCTTGTACAATGTGGACATGCATTCCTTACTGATTTGTTGAATCTGTAGATTGCAATCTTTTATCACCTTTAGGTCTTCAAATAGTTGTTTTCTTCCTCAGAACCTTAGTGTTTCGTTATACTTTCTAAATTTTTTTATCTCAGTCATTTTTATCTCTACATATGCTTTTTCTTTGTAGTGCATTCCAAATAATACCACTAGATGTACATTTCAGTCCTTTCATCATCTCTGTGTGCATGAAATCCTTTTCTTTTATTGGGTTTCTTAAATTTTTACTGTGAATACCTAGTAAAGGTGTGCACTAATCAGTACAACAACTAATATTCTCAGTAGTACAAGGGATTTAAAGAGTTTTGGCTCATTTTTCATTATAATTTTTGCCTACTATAGTTCTCCATTCTATTCAAGATATATCTTCATTATAGTTATTAATAATTATAAATTATTTTATGCTCCCCACATCTCCCCCCTTGTTTTTCTTTTCATTTCTTCTTCTTCATTTGTTAACTATAACTCTAGGCCCAGTTTCTTTCTTAACAATTGTCATTCTTTAAAGCTTCACTCAGCTAAAGTCTCCCAGTGATAACACTTACTTTCGTATTAAATACTTTTGTTTTACTCCCACTTTCAAAATACATTTTATATTGATAATCATTTTCTCTCAATATCTTCAAAGTTAACATTTTAAATAATTAGTTTTTATGAATATGGAGTTTGCTGCTACTTCTTGTTATTCTTTTCAGTCAATTTGCAGTTTATTGCTCTTTTGTTTAGTATTTTTACCTTTATCTTTCTCTGTTCTACACTTTTCTTATGTCACACCTATATACCATTCAGGAGTTAAGTTCCTTCTTCAGTCAGCCTCCAGAGTGATGAGAAAGTCTTTATCATTCATTCTAATTTCATTTCTTCTCTGTTTTCATATGTCTTTTCTTTTGGAGGTCCCATTGGAAAGTACTGTACCACTTAGATACCCAACTTCTTTATATTTCAGTTTTTTGGTTCCTGCACCCAACCAAGTGAAAGTAGAAAGACAAACTTTTATAAAGTAGGCAGGACATTTTAAGCAATATTATAAACTGGTGCAACTAAATATAGCACAAATTTATCACTTAAATACATTACAAATTGGGTAAAGTTTTTTATCACCAAGAAACTGTGGAAAATTCAGCCACAAGAATCAAAAACTGACTTTTTTAGAGAACATTTTCATGTATTAAATACAAGCCACTTTGACAGTGAAACAGATGAGTGCTTTGTTTTTTAAAAAAAAATCCTTAAGGTTTTCCTTTAGTTTGGTAAGAAAAATCCCAATACTACAATGGTTAAGCATAACATGGATGATTCTTTTTAAATAATGAATATTTTTAAGCTTTATGGCTTTTCAACTAGATTTGTGACCTTTTTCCCATCCTCTAATCACACATCCTGAAATAAAAAAAAAAAAAGAACACTTTTTGAAAATCTATTTGATTCCTTCTTCTTGCAGTAATTACTAGGATACTAAAATTGGAGGCACCAGACAGACTCAGCTGCAAGTCCTCTTGGCTTCTGACTGGGTGGCTGCTTCATTTCATTTCTTCTTTCCTTTCGTCAGAACTTCCCGTGAGACCAGCCCCAGCTGCACAGCAGTGGGCTTGAGCTCCTAGGAATAACCCGGGGAGAAGATCAAACCTTTGACCCTTAGAGTCCCAAAATAGCACAGACAAGAACATTCTTCTCTGAATGAAAAGAACTGAAAGTATCAGAGGCTGAGCTCTAGGTAGGAGACGGAGACACAATTGATCAGAAGTAAGCCACATGCTGAAAATTCAGTTCAGCTAAAACATAGCAAAGGTCAAGGTATTTTATGTTGATAAATAACTCTGCCAGCCCTAAGGGTTTCCTACTTCATTGGAATAGTCTCCAAGTGCTCACTATAACAAATATGTTACGAAGCTTTCTGCAAATCTACAGCAAATTCTGCTCCTTCTCAATATTCCTAAAAGGAGAAGCAAGCATTTGCTGAGTCTCTGTGTGGTCAACTTCAAAAGAGTCTTCCCATGCAGGTCTGTTATATGGCTTTAGTCTTCTTTAAAATTGAAAAAAAAAAAAAAAGAAAGCTGCATTTTTACATAGCAGACACCATTATTAATATTTATAGACTCCACAAAGTGCCAGAGAGAAATTTCTTCACCTTGTATAATGTCAAAACAGGCCCTTCCAGTTAAATCGTCATAGTTCTCTCCTTTGGCTTCTCCCTGGGAAAAGTGAACTTGGAAACAAACAAGTGATCCATTTGCTCAGGGTTCAACATCAAGACCCTATACTTACATTTAAGTTCCCTTTATTTTTACAGACTTAGGACAGGCATGCCAACTCACAAGAAACAGAAAATTGTGCTCATCATTTAAAGTCAAGTTATGTGAAAAAGTTATCATTCTTTAGCTATTTCCAAACTCCAGACCCTTCCTGTCACTTAAGTTGCTGAGGAAATTACCATCCTAGCCTTCCCTGGTACAGCAAGGAAATGCAGAGGTGACTCAAAGTTGCAGCCTGCCGCCGTTCCAATGTCTTTCTTTCCCAGACTCAAACAGAAACAGTGTCTTCCGTGTGCAGATCTTTTTTCTCTCCCATTGAGCAAGGCTCCCCTGGTGAGCAAGACTCTGAACTGGCCCTCCCTCTCATGTCTTCGTAATAACTTTCACATACTGTGGGAAGGGACAAACCAGGAATCCCATTCCAACGTCTTGGCCCTCATGAGTAGCACTGGGTAGGCAGGGGCAAAATGGGACTTCAGTGAGTAATACTTTGCAAGAGAAAAAGGGTGTCCTGGGATGGGACCTTTCTAAACTGTTCAATCAAACTAATCCAGGAATTTAAGAGAAACAAAAAATGATGACTGATTACAGCATCCCTCAAACGTGTAACAGATTG